CGGACTCCTGGAGACACGTAAAGAAGTCTTCAACTATCCCATTGTACTAAATGTACGTAACCCGGACTCCTGGAGAGACGTACAGAAGTCTCCAACTATCCCATTGTAATAACTGTACGTAACCCGGACTCCTGGAGACACGTACAGAAGTCTCCAACTATCCCATTGTACTAAATGTACGTAACCCGGACTCCTGGAGACACGTACAGAAATCTCCAACTATCCCATTGTAATAACTGTACGTAACCCGGACTCCTGGAGCCACGTAAAGAAGTCTCCAACTATCCCATTGTAATAACTGTACGTAACCCGGACTCCCGGAGACACGTAAAGAAGACTCCAACTATCCCATTGTACTAAATGTACGTAACCCGGACTCCTGGAGACACGTACAGAAATTGCCAACTATCCCATTGTAATAACTGTACGTAACCCGGACTCCTGGAGACACGTAAAGAAGTCTTCAACTATCCCATTGTACTAAATGTACGTAACCCGGACTCCTGGAGACACGTACAGAAATCGCCAACTATCCCATTGTACTAACTGTACGTAACCCGGACTCCTGGAGACACGTACAGAAGTCTCCAACTATCCCATTGTAATAACTGTACGTAACCCGGACTCCTGGAGACACGTACAGAAGTCTTCAACTATCCCATTGTACTAAATGTACGTAACCCGGACTCCTGGAGAGACGTACAGAAGTCTCCAACTATCCCATTGTAATAACTGTACGTAACCCGGACTCCTGGAAAACGTACAGAAGTCTCCAACTATCCCATTGTACTAAATGTACGTAACCGGGACTCCTGGAGACACGTACAGAAATCTCCAACTATCCCATTGTAATAACTGTACGTAACCCGGACTCCTGGAGACACGTAAAGAAGTCTCCAACTATCCCATTGTAATAACTGTACGTAACCCGGACTCCTGGAGACACGTACAGAAGTCTCCAACTATCCCATTGTAATAACTGTACGTAACCCGGACTCCTGGAGACACGTAAAGAAGTCTTCAACTATCCCATTGTACTAAATGTACGTAACCCGGACTCCTGGAGACACGTACAGAAATCGCCAACTATCCCATTGTAATAACTGTACGTAACCCGGACTCCTGGAGACACGTAAAGAAGTCTTCAACTATCCCATTGTACTAAATGTACGTAACCCGGACTCCTGGAGAGACGTACACAAAGCTCCAACTATCCCATTGTAATAACTGTACGTAACCCGGACTCCTGGAGACACGTACAGAAGTCTCCAACTATCCCATTGTAATAACTGTACGTAACCCGGACTCCTGGAGACACGTACAGAAGTCTTCAACTATCCCATTGTACTAAATGTACGTAACCCGGACTCCTGGAGACACGTACAGAAGTCTCCAACTATCCCATTGTAATAACTGTACGTAACCCGGACTCCTGGAGACACGTACAGAAGGCTCCAACTATCCCATTGTAATAACTGTACGTAACCCGGACTCCTGGAGACACGTACAGAAGGCTTCAACTATCCCATTGTACTAAATGTACGTAACCCGGACTCCTGGAGACACGTACAGAAGTCTCCAACTATCCCATTGTAATAACTGTACGTAACCCGGACTCCTGGAGACACGTACAGAAGTCTCCAACTATCCCATTGTAATAACTGTACGTAACCCGGACTCCTGGAGACACGTACAGAAGTCTTCAACTATCCCATTGTACTAAATGTACGTAACCCGGACTCCTGGAGACACGTACAGAAGTCTCCAACTATCCCATTGTAATAACTGTACGTAACCCGGACTCCTGGAGACACGTACAGAAGTCTCCAACTATCCCATTGTAATAACTGTACGTAACCCGGACTCCTGGAGACACGTAAAGAAGTCTTCAACTATCCCATTGTACTAAATGTACGTAACCCGGACTCCTGGAGACACGTACAGAAATCGCCAACTATCCCATTGTAATAACTGTACGTAACCCGGACTCCTGGAGACACGTAAAGAAGTCTTCAACTATCCCATTGTACTAAATGTACGTAACCCGGACTCCTGGAGACACGTACAGAAATCGCCAACTATCCCATTGTACTAACTGTACGTAACCCGGACTCCTGGAGACACGTACAGAAGTCTTCAACTATCCCATTGTACTAAATGTACGTAACCCGGACTCCTGGAGACACGTACAGAAATCGCCAACTATCCCATTGTAATAACTGTACGTAACCCGGACTCCTGGAGACACGTACAGAAGTCTCCAACTATCCCATTGTAATAACTGTACGTAACCCGGACTCCTGGAGACACGTACAGAAGTCTCCAACTATCCCATTGTAATAACTGTACGTAACCCGGACTCCTGGAGACACGTACAGAAGTCTTCAACTATCCCATTGTACTAAATGTACGTAACCCGGACTCCTTAGAACACGTACAGAAGTCTCCAACTATCCCATTGTAATAACTGTACGTAACCCGGACTCCTGGAGACACGTAAAGAAGTCTTCAACTATCCCATTGTAATAACTGTACGTAACCCGGACTCCTGGAGACACGTACAGAAATCGCCAACTATCCCATTGTACTAGCTGTACGTAACCCGGACTCCTGGAGCCACGTAATCCAACTATCCCATTGTAATAACTGTACGTAACCCGGACTCCTGGAGACACGTAAAGAAGTCTTCAACTATCCCATTGTACTAAATGTACGTAACCCGGACTCCTGGAGACACGTACAGAAATCGCCAACTATCCCATTGTACTAAATGTACGTAACCCGGACTCCTGGAGACACGTAAAGAAGTCTCCAACTATCCCATTGTAATAACTGTACGTAACCCGGACTCCTGGAGACACGTACATCCAACTATCCCATTGTACTAGCTGTACCTAACCCGGACTCCTGGAGCCACGTACAGAAGTCGCCAACTATCCCATTGTAATAACTGTACGTAACCCGGACTGCTGGAGCCAAGTACAGAAGTCTCCAACTATCCCATTGTACTAGCTGTACCTAACCCGGACTCCTGGAGCCAAGTACAGAAGTCTCCAACTATCCCATTGTACTAACTGTACGTAACCCGGACTCCTGGAGCCAAGTACAGAAGTCTCCAACTATCCCATTGTACTAACTGTACGTAACCCGGACTCCTGGAGCCAAGTACAGAAGTCTCCAACTATCCCATTGTACTAACTGTACGTAACCCGGACTCCTGGAGCCAAGTACAGAAGTCTCCAACTATCCCATTGTACTAACTGTACGTAACCCGGACTCCTGGAGCCACGTACAGAAATCGCCAACTATCCCATTGTACTAGCTGTACGTAACCCGGACTCCTGGAGCCAAGTACAGAAGTCTCCAACTATCCCATTGTACTAACTGTACGTAACCCGGACTCCTGGAGCCACGTACAGAAGTCTCCAACTATCCCATTGTACTAACTGTACGTAACCCGGACTCCTGGAGCCACGTACAGAAATCGCCAACTATCCCATTGTACTAACTGTACGCAACCCGGACTCCTGGAGCCACGTACAGAAATCGCCAACTATCCCATTGTACTAACTGTACGTAACCCGGACTCCTGGAGCCACGTACAGAAATCGCCAACTATCCCATTGTACTAACTGTACGTAACCCGGACTCCTGGAGACACGTACAGAAGTCTCCAACTATCCCATTGTACTAACTGTACGTAACCCGGACTCCTGGAGCCACGTACAGAAATCGCCAACTATCCCATTGTACTAACTGTACGTAACCCGGACTCCTGGAGACACGTACAGAAGTCTCCAACTATCCCATTGTACTAACTGTACGTAACCCGGACTCCTGGAGCCACGTACAGAAATCGCCAACTATCCCATTGTACTAACTGTACGTAACCCGGACTCCTGGAGCCACGTACAGAAATCGCCAACTATCCCATTGTACTAACTGTACGTAACCCGGACTCCTGGAGACACGTAAAGAAGTCTCCAACTATCCCATTGTACTAACTGTACGTAACCCGGGCTGCTGGAGCCACGTACATCCAACTATCCCATTGTACTAGCTGTACCTAACCCGGACTACTGGAGCCACGTATATCCAACTATCCCATTGTACTAACTGTACATAACCCGGACTCCTGGAGACAAGTACATCCAACTATCCCATTGTACTAGCTGTACGTAACCCGGACTCCTGGAGCCACGTACATCCAACTATCCCATTGTACTAACTGTACGTAACCCGGACTCCTGGAGCCACGTACATCCAACTATCCCATTGTACTAGCTGTACCTAACCCGGACTCCTGGAGCCACGTACATCCAACTATCCCATTGTACTAGCTGTACCTAACCCGGACTCCTGGAGACAAGTACATCCAACTATCCCATTGTACTAGCTGTACCTAACCCGGACTCCTGGAGACAAGTACATCCAACTATCCCATTGTACTAGCTGTACGTAACCCGGACTCCTGGAGCCACGTACATCCAACTAACCCATTGTACTAGCTGTACCTAACCCGGACTCCTGGAGCCACGTACATCCAACTATCCCATTGTACTAGCTGTACCTAACCCGGACTCCTGGAGACAAGTACATCCAACTATCCCATTGTACTAGCTGTACGTAACCCGGACTCCTGGAGCCACGTACATCCAACTATCCCATTGTACTAGCTGTACCTAACCCGGACTCCTGGAGACAAGTACATCCAACTATCCCATTGTACTAGCTGTACGTAACCCGGACTCCTGGAGCCACGTACATCCAACTATCCCATTGTACTAGCTGTACCTAACCCGGACTCCTGGAGCCACGTACATCCAACTATCCCATTGTACTAGCTGTACCTAACCCGGACTCCTGGAGACAAGTACATCCTACTATCCCATTGTACTAACTGTACGTAACCCGGACTGCTGGAGACAAGTACAGAAGTCTCCAAACATATCCAGGAGTAGAATCGAAATAAGATAAAATAAATTAATAAAAAAAAATAGTTCCCACGTCGGGACTCGAACCCGGGGTTTTTCGGTGAGAGCCAGGTATCCCAGCCACTAGACTACGAGGCACACCGGGTGAGCATGCCTAGATAGCTTAGATGAGGGGGAACGCTATCTTTGTTTATTTAAGATAAACTCCCCAAAACTTCCTAAATCTTTCCTACTTCTTATCTAAATGCGTAAATGGAGACTTCATGATGGATAAATGGGTGTCTGCAGTTGATTCAAAGAAGGCACATACTGTGGTAGCCGCCTGACTTAGCTTCGGATAAGATCGCTGCTAACATAGAGAACAGCTTTCCTGTCAGACGTCCCTAACGTGGATTCAGCTGTCAGGTTGGTATTGCTTACTTATAAAAGTAATACAATAAGTTCATGTACAGTTAAACCTATCTATAGCACCCCCTCTCTAAATAGCGCCTTCCTCTCTATAACGCCCGATTTTAAATACGTAGTACGATGCAATTTACATTAAAAGTGACCTGTCTATAACACCCCTTCTCTATAGCACCCTATTTTGGTGAGTCCCAAGAGGGAGCGCTATAGACAGGTTTAACTATACTATGTTAGATTGAGGAATCTTTAAATACAGAAATCCCTCAATACTATGTTAAATATTATGTAATGTTTATTTTATTTATCGATAGTATTATTAAGTTACACTCATGTACAAAAAGTTAAGAAAGTTTTACCATTTAAGATGTATATCGGGATTCAGACAATAACTCTGGAAAACATTACAGTGACCTTTATTGAAGACACATCTGGTTCAAATCACATAAATAGGTACCGCTCAGCAAGAGCAACCTAGTTCATGATAATTGAAACAGTGAATAATATGTGAAGTTGAAGACACATGAGATAACCAAGTGTGAACAAAATTGCCTCTGTCCTCTTCATTAAAAAAAAGCTAAGTTTTGTTCATGAGTATACATTTTAACATAGAAATACAACCTTGCCTCTACATCCTGACTTCATGATAATACCTGATGAACACCAGCGCAATCTGCCCTCCCCATGACTAGATCAAGACTGAGGTTGTACAGCCCGGGTTGTTGACGATTTGCGCTAACCAAAAGATAATGTTTCTTATATAAATTCTACTTCTTTCTATCCTCAGGAGGTAGTAAATCAGCAGGAAAAAAGATAAGAGAATTTGAAGATACAAATAGTTGGAGGAACTGATTGATGAAGAAAGTCATGGAGAGTAAATATAAATGGAAAGAGAACATGTGTAAAAAGAGGAGGGTTTGGACTGATGGACTGGCTGGGAAGTTATGAAGAAATAAAGAACTCAAGATAGAGAAGTCACTGGAGACAAGAACAGAGAAACTGAAGAATTGGACTTATAGACTGGATGGGAAGTTATGAAGAAATAAAGAACTCAAGATAGAGAAGTCACTGGAGACAAGAACAGAGAAACTGAAGAATTGGACTGATGGACTGGATGGGAAGTTATGAAGAAATAAAGAACTCAAGATAGAGAAGTTACTGGAGACAAGAACAGAGAAAATGAAGAATTGGACTGATGGACTGGATGGGAAGTTATGAAGAAATAAAAAAACTCAAGATAGAGAAGTCACTGGAGACAAGAACAGAGAAACTGAAGAATTGGACTGATGGACTGGATGGGAAATTATGAAGAAATAAAGAACTCAAGATAGAGAAGTCACTGGAGACAAGAACAGAGAAACTGAAGAATTGGACTGATGGACTGGATGGGAAGTTATGAAGAAATAAAGAACTCAAGATAGAGAAGTCACTGGAGACAAGAACAGAGAAACAGAAAAATTGGACTGATGGACTGGATGGGAAGTTATGAAGAAATAAAGAACTCAAGATAGAGAAGTCGCTGGAGACAAGAACACAGAAACTGAAGAATTGGACTGATGGACTGGATGGGAAGTTATGAAGAAATAAAGAACTCAAGATAGAGAAGTCGCTGGAGACAAGAACACAGAAACTGAAGAATTGAACTGATGGACTGGATGGGAAGTTATGAAGAAATAAAGAACTCAAGATAGAGAAGTCACAGGACACCTGGACCTGTTCAAATGTAGTACCAGGCCATGGTGGGTTGCGACAGCTTGTACCGTAAGTACACCACATGTCTCTACATATGTAGTACCAGGCCATATGATAATCATTAAGCTTAGAGTTTTGTGACTCCTTGTGCGGTAAGCACACTGCATGTGTATACACTACACCATAGCATAACAATATTCCTTCAATCCAAACCTATCTCATAGTTTCTACATCTTCTGATTCTCTATTTTGTGGCACATTACCATATATCCACTCTAATATAAATGATACATCTTTATTTAAAATTACAACAAACAACAACAAAAGCCTTTATTGAGGACCTCTCGTCCTATAAAGGATTCCCCAGTTTACAGAGTAATTGAAGAGAAGAGAACTAAGAATACAGAGAGAAACCTATATGTAGTAGGTATAGTATAGAATTTTCTACACTGTGACTATATACAACAGCAGCAACAAGCCTTTTACTGGAATCAAAGTCCCATGCAGGATTCGTCAAAATTACAATATATACGATTCGTGTTGAATTGTTCTACAGAGAATTGGAGTAATTCAAACGATGACTTGAACATCTGCAAACAACCATTCATCTAGTACTAAAGTCAATGTACTACGGGGTAGTACGCTACCATAACATACTTCTCCATTCAAGAAAGCTGAATTGGAGTAATTCACGCAAAGTGAATGGAACCATTACTCTCAACCATTCAACAAGCCCATTCATCTAGTACTGAAGTCAATGTACTACGGGGTAGTACGCTACCATAACATACTTCTCCATTCAAGAAAGCTGAATTGGAGTAATTCACGCGAAGTGAATGGAACCATTACTCAACCATTCAACAAGCCCATTCATCTAGTACTGAAGTCAATGTACTACGGGGTAGTACGCTACCATAACATACTTCTCCATTCAAGAAGGCTGAATTGGAGTAATTCACGCGAAGTGAATGGAACCATTACTCTCAACCATTCAACAAGTCCATTCATCTAGTACTGAAGTCAATGTACTACGGGGTAGTACGCTACCATGGCTACTTCTCCATCTAGCAAACAAAGAAAGCTGAATTGGAGTAATTCTCGCGAAGTGAATGGAACCATTACTCTCAACCATTCAACAAGCCCATTCATCTAGTAATGAAGTCAATGTACTACGGGGTAGTACGCTCTCATGGCTACTTCTCCATCTAGCAAACAAAGAAAGCTGAATTGGAATAATGCACGCGAAGTGAATGGAACCATTACTCTCAACCATTCAACAAGCCCATTCATCTAGTACTGAAGTCAATGTACTACGGGGTAGTACGTAGTACTGTTCCAACGACAGCAAAAAACGGACTGTATCCTGAAGGAGCGAAGGATGATCCTGGCGAGTGGAGCGGAACGACGCGGCTGTCGGAGCGTGTCCTTCGCAAAAACCACGGGCACTCCGCCATTGAAGACAGAAGCAGTCAAGCATGGTTCGTATTTTAATTAATAATCAGGATCAGATGGCACGCTTCGCTGATTGGTCTTCTGAGATTGTCTAGAAACTTCTTCACTGCTTGGAACAACTACAGACAGTAGATCACCTCCTTTGTAGCTGTCTTTCTTTACAGAGATATACGATGGCACTTCTACCTGGCATCAGATAGCAAGCTTCTTTGTGATTGGTCTTCTGAGATTCTCTAGAACCTTCTTCACTGCTTGGAACAACCACAGACAGTAGATCACCTCCTTTGTAGCTGTCTTTCTTTACAGAGATATACGATGGCACTTCTATTAGGCATCAGATAGCAAGTTTCGCGGAATGGTATTCTGAGATTCTTCTAGAAACTTCTTCACTGCTTGGAACAACTACAGACAGTAGATCACCTCTTTGGGAGCTATCTTTCTTTACAGAGATATTCGATGGCATTTCTACCTGGCATCAGATAGCAAGCTTCTTTGTGATTGGTCTTCTGAGATTGTCTAGAAACTTCTTCACTGCTTGGAACAACTACAGACAGTAGATCACCTCCTTTGTAGCTATCTTTCTTTACAGAGATATACGATGGCATTTCTACTTGGTCTTCTGATTCTCAAGAAAAGCTTCTTTACCCAAGCTATCTTCAATGCTTGGAAGAACTACAGAAAGTAAATCACATTCTCTTTAACTCCCTTTCTTTGCAGAGATATAGCATGGCACTTCTACTTGGTCTTCTGATTCTCAAGAAAAGCTTTTTTACCCAAGCTATCTTCAATGCTTGGAAGAACTACAGAAAGTAAATCACATTCTCTTTAACTCCCTTTCTTTGCAGAGATATAGCATGGCACTTCTACCTGGCATCAGATAGCAAGTTTCGCTGATTGGTACTCTGATTCTCTAGAAAATGTCTTTATCCAAGCTGTCTTCATTGCTTGGGAGAACTACATTGCTTGGGATCACCTCCTCTGCAACTGCCTTTCTTTTCTGAGACACACACGATGGCTATTCTACTTGGACTGGACCACCTCACACAATCCTAGATCTATAGTCAGTTTCCAATACTCGACCCCAACATGGAGAGTTCTGTTCATCAATCCACTCAGGATGTGATTAGAACTGCTAGGAACTAGAAAAGTTAGCAGGACAGCCCAGGTAGTTGTTGTTCTGCATTCTATGAAACCTGGCTATCTCTTTTTCGCATTTTTTGCTTATTTGACAGTTGAACTTTTAATTTTATCTTTGTCTTCCATACCCCTGTGAGTGGTTATCTCCTTGGCCAGTCCAAGATGTCCATATTCCCCATGTCCATCAAGCGATGGTAGTTATATAAACCTGTAGGTTTTGTAGGTAAAAAATATGGGACACAAAATTTTCAATGTGATAACTGAGAAATATTTAACTGGATCTCTAGAGTTAGGTTTGAAGAAATTGTCACTGAATTATAGCTTCGATTATAGAATATGCAAATTAGTCTGATATTGAACTATTTAAAAATTAATTTTGAGTCGCGCGAAAAATAAGATTATGATTATAATATTTTAAAGATCCCATATCATTGTCACTACTACAATTATAATAC